AAAATGTCAATGTATTTAAATCGAGCAGATTCTGGTATAAAAGTCTAAACAATTGAAAACACTATGGTGTTCATGTCTCGTGTATAAACTTAAACATAAGAAAATTAAGAGTCTCAATAAATATACTTAACTGAAGGAAAAAAACGGTGGTGAGCTTGTTTGGGGAATCACAATTATTAGAAAAAGTGAGTGCAGTATTTTTAAAAAACGTCGTTCATGGACGCACTTTCATACGTTCATGTCATATTTAGTTAACGATACGTTTTTTTTTTCAATTTAACGAGAATATGAACGACGTCGGTTTTTGAATGAAATTGGACGATTTTTAAGACTCTTAACTTATTTGCCATTCAATAAATATTTATTTAAAATATATTATATAATAATATTTTCTTCTTATAATATCTATTATAAAAAATTAAAAAATTAAATGAAACACCAAGTGTAAGCATTTATTTTTCAATTGTCACGAATACTGGGTGGGTGGTGCAAGAAAATACAAAACAAACCGAAAAAAGGGGGGAAATAGACCACGACAACGCGGGAAAGATCGGACCCCGTCGCAGCTGACAAATATTACAGGAGGAGTGGAGGACACAGTGGTGGGTGGAAAGTTGAAAACAATTCGCTGGTCGTTCCCGGCAGTAGGTCACTCGCGATTTGCTAGGATTCGTTCAGTCGTCTCATACACAAACGTACCATTGACATTTCCTCTCTGCTTTAAAACTTAATAATATATTTTGACGATGGCGTGGCATGCGGACAACCAAAATTACTGTACGCTGATACGGAAATGGCAGTTCGTTCGTCCAGTCGGACGCCGTGACCGGACCGTCACGTATTTACCCACCCGATGACTGTGATCTCTGCCATATGTGTACGCTTGTAATTTAATGTGACGTGCGGGAATTCCGGTTGTCTCGAAGATTAGAGCTTATAATATTTTGTGTATGTTTGTGACTCGAGCACATTGGATTGGCTGGTGCCAGCTGCCAGGGTTGCTATTATTATTATACCGATTTATTTTTCAATTTTAATTGTTCAAATAGATTGTGTTCGATTTAAAATGTTTATCATATTAATCCTGTTTATCGCTGTGACTTTTTTCTAGAGGTGTTGTATCATTTAGTCGATAACATATTTCCTTATTAGACACGATGTGTCAAACATTCGTCTCCTCAATAGACAATATGAATCGCACCATGCTCTAAAAAATAATTTTCGATTAAAAAAAAGAATAATTATTAAATGACGTCGAAATATTTTTAAACGAGAATGTCTTTCAGCTGTGCCTTTTCAAAACACAGAAAATGCAAGTGAAAAATACTCACGGTAAAATCTAACCTAACCCTGCAGAGTAATATATTAAATTATTGACTTATTCCTTATATAGGAGTTCGTATACGTCCGTTATTCGTTCGGGGCTGTCAACGCTACACCATATATTATTGTAATTTATAATGCGAAGGTTTACAACGCCGAAACGTTAAACTATATATTATATTATACGAACGGATATCGATGTAACATTGTGCCGCAGTAAATTGTTTATTATTGTTATTATTTTATACTATATTTCTCCCCCTACACTATTACTCGTATGGTCCTATGTCGACGAACGGCCGAGTGGGGTGGCTGAAAATAAATGATGATTTGAAATATTATAACAAACGGCCAAAATGGCCTGTGAGTGGATTGATAAACGGACTGGTGTAATAATCGTTTTAGAAGTGTGGATGAATCAATCAAGACTAAAAGTATGTCGTAAGATTCGTTTACAAGTCGACTAATCTTTTCTTCGGAATAAAAATCGGAACTAGAGTTGACACTTTCAAAAATTCCGGGAACGGAAATATTCTCGTTGATATTTAAATGATCATGTAGCAACTACATTATCGTCACTGGAAAAATAAAAAAAAATAAAGAATTAATTTTTTTAACTAATAATATTTTTGTACAATAGATACTTGACACTTTTAGGTTAAATACATATTTTTTTATGAAGGAGCAACGGTATCCATTCCGAAATAAATAATAGTCAGCAAGTCAGGTAGGTAGGTAAATGTGAATCGTTCCAATATTATATAATTCAACTGTTGTTGTTTGTTGTTGAACTAAGTTGGTGTAAACAGTGTACACATCTGTATAGCCATTGATATTTAATTGTTAAACGAAATACTTCAACTATTACTTAGTCCATGGATTCGAATTGCGGTAGTTATGAAATGTATGAAAATATAATATAACTATAATAATAATAATACACGAATGCGTGATTGTGATATTATGGTTAACACGGTTTAAAGAATCTGGTTTCGGATAATTGTAGTGGTTCAACCATTATTTTATTTTGATCGTGTTCTGGCTACAGTCATGTGATCACTGTTGTTGTGTGTGGGGTGATTTATTTTTTATTAGTATAAAGTTTTCCTGACGAATTTATCTAAACGTTTCGTTGGTTCAGAATTTTTTCCTTAACATTTTCAACAATTGGTAATATAATAGTTGGATGGCGAAAGATCGATAAGGAGACGTTCCGACGAAAATTCATTTAAAATAATAATAAGACAATAAGGCCGGACGCCGATTTCGTTAGAAACTCGTCAACCCCTCCCGCCGCCGCAACACCGAGGCAATCGTGATTGTTAAATTTCTATTTCGCTTTATGATTGAATTTCATCCTTTGGATATACTCAAGCATTTTCTTCTGCTGGAATTTCTCAACTGCTTTGAAATTGCATGGCACTTGCCCGTGTCAAAACGTAACAACGCATAATAATTGCAATAATAATCCTCTGGACGTTTCGCATGTTCCCACGGGGCCGCCGCCGACTACCTGAGTGCCCCCACACAAACTTATTTTGTCTCTCTGAATTGTCGAAATAATATTATTACCATCATCATCGTTGTCATCGTTGTCATCATTATCATCATAGTATAGTATACGAATTCTTAGGATTCTTAGGATGCCTCAAGTACGTCTGAAAATTTTTCATTTCCTCAACGGCATTCATAAAAAATATATTTTCATCTGATTATAACTCATCACTGTATGCGTTGTTCCGATATTAGGCGATGTTTGGCAGTGCAGCGTTGTTGCATTTTGTTTTTGTTTTTTTTATCTCTGGCAATTAAAAAAATTCCGTACTTTACTGCAGCTCTGAGATTCCGCCCACAAAATCGTGCTTAAAATTCGTTAAACGATCTTGCGAATATACCTTTCATGCCCAATATTATGTATGATTGCGTACTGAAACCGTTGACCCATTCCGATCAGCCAAGTACAATTCAATCGTGATATTATTATCTTAGGAAGCTTATGATAATGGTTTTTAAAAGAACATTTTTTGACCTCGTGGTTTTCATAATATACGAATTGTGCGGGACAGCGTTCTGCTTCTTATGATTTGATCTGAAATATTTTTACTGACCCCTGAAGAATGAATTACAGCATAATAAAAAGATTGTGTGTCTGTTGTACATATATATAGTTCTACTCGCAATAATCTCACCAAGAAAATTGTGTGTTACAATTGTCACGAAAATCAAAAAATATATTTTGTAGGGCGTAGGAAGAAAATAACGGATAAATAAAATATGTATACATTTATAAACTTATATTATATATTTAGTGGTTACGTGTAATCCAATATGAGTAAAATATTTAACTCTTTGGTTTTTTACGAGGTAAAATATCCATTTAATGATCTAAACCAAACTTCTTTTGAACGATATGTACTCGATATGTAATTCCATAAAATTTAAAATATTCTCAGTTTTTGTTTTTTTAATATTATAATTTTGTATTTTACATGGATTACGCTATCAGTGACAATAGCTATCAAAACAAATTTAAAGGTGTGCCTGCGTGAGTGTTTTCCAGCTAACGTGTATTTTATTAAAGACTTTTTATTTTATTTTTTGTCATAAGTCCTCAAATAAAGTATAACAAATTATAATCAAATTACGATCGTATCACATTTTCTTCGTTCGGGTCACAACGTTCGACAATCGACGACGCCACGCACAGAGACGTCCATGTGTTCAGAAATCTATTACACAGAACTTATTTTCCGAATTAAAAATTTCTCTGTGACAGTATAGGTCACTCGTGCAGATAAAATATATTCAGATAACAGTGATTTCCGGGTTTTACATTGCCGTAAAACGATTTTGAAATACATTATAATATTCGCGAACCACGTGAATGGAAAATTGACTCTAAAATGTCAGTGCTTTAAAATAAAATATTTTTGGATTTAAAATACGATAATTTATAATTGGTAGTGTATGTCTCGAAAAGAAATTCATCCATGTGAAATGTGAAATACATTTTTTTTTTTTTTAAACACGACAAAAGACCATAATGAACTTATAATTGACATGGAAATACTATAATTTTATTTTAATGTTATCCGGTAGTAAATATTTAAAAAAAAACAATTATTTCAAAATTCATTTGTTGACCATGAAAGTAAATACAAATATATTAATAATTATTTGTTTGAGCCAAAAAACACGCGACTGATTAAAAATTAACCAACAAAATTATTTTACTACTCCAAAATGTGACATAATATATTAATATAATACAATATGGGAAAACAATATTTCAGAGTCAATAAAACAATATTTTCAGTTACAAACATGATTTATAAATTTTATTGAAATTACCCCCATACGTCGAAACAAACATAAAACAAAATAATTATTAAATTCAAATATGTCATTATAACTTAATACTTGTAGGTCAAAACAAATAATTTCTATACTTTTACAACTCATTATATTATATTACAACACAACGGTTATGACTTTATGAGCAATAATAATTGTATTGATAACATCCAAGTATAATAATGCTCGGAGACAGTAAAAACAAATTCAATCAATACTAATTGATGTGAATGACAAAAAAAGACCTCTATAGTTGTTAATAAAAAAATGTATGTAAAATATTATGTTCACACTCTAATCGATAAAATTTTATTTGTTCACAGGAGGTTACTACACGATCGAGCAAAAAGGAAATAAACTTAGGATAATCGCGCTCAATTCAAATGCATTTTCGACGGTAGAAAGACAACGAAACGTCGCCAACCCTATAGAACAGCTCGAATGGTTGGAAAAAATCTTAATGAAATCAGTAATGAACAAAGAAACAGTGAGTATTAAGCCATTTACTGTTTACCGAACGTTGAGATAAAAAAAAATGTTTATCATAACAATAGTAGGGATTCCAATACAAAACACGTTTTCAGTGAGTTTGTATTGTAATGTCCATAGTAGGTATTATGTTTAAGTAAAATTGATTTTGTGTTTTAATTATTTTAGGCATATGAATAGTACGGTTTATTTTATTTTATTTTATTTCATTTATTTACTCATTATATTTTTGACAAGAATCATAAGGTTATTTGTTTTTCTGAAAATTCGTGTTTCGATGTTTTGAAAATGACGTATTTACACGTATGAAACTTAACATGTGGTGACACTATTGTCAACCGACATCTACGGATCAATTTTAATCTTCTGACTATATCTAGATTTGTATTTCATCGGATCATTCAAATTTCAAATTATTTGAGTAGGTACTCGATAAGTATTGTTACATTTTGTAGGTACAAATGGGATATTATGGTCGTTGACTCTATTTATTATTGATGCCTATCTGATAAATTAACTGTTATTTAACAGTAAAATAACTATTAGTTCTCGTTTTTTTCCCCGACTAAGACTACAAATTTATGTATTTAAAAATACGCCTTGGAAATGCGCACCGTATATTATGTCTTACGATTAAACATATGTATCCATAATATTTCTGCGCCACTAATAAAACTATTATTTTTAACGAGTACGAACCCATTGTGTACCATTAAATCGTTAAACATATTTAAAACAAAATGTATCGTGTATGGAATTTGTTACAAACGCAAGCACAACTTTCATATCGAGCTTTGAGCAAGTTGGTCGTTGAACTTTTACAGTCGCAAGTCGTTTGCATGGTTGTCTTTTAATGAAATTCGTTTCGAATTATTTGATAAAACTCTTCCAGTACTCATCGAATATTTTTGAACTTTTCTCGTTGCGTTTCAAAACGATCGCAATAATTTCGAATTTTCAACATTCTCGGCAATATTATTTATATCACCATTACGGTTGTCGCTGCAAAAAATAGCATCATACCTACATAATCGTAATCTAACGAAACGTATCGAGAAACGCCATTATCGGCCAGGTCAGAAAAGTAAAAACTATGATATTCTGCGATATCGGATTTTGAGTTTCGCTGGATCCGGGATGTCATTGCATTCCCCAGCAGTGCACAGTATACGATTATGTTTCGATCTCGCACGCTCGTCGTGCCCACTCATGTACCATAGACAATTGTTTTCAGTACAAGCTTACTGGTCTGTTCCGGTCGTCCTTTCAACGTAGTCCGTTATTTGAACTTTCAGGTGTACCTGGTGAGCCACATGTGCCCGGGAGCCAACGAAAGAGACCAAGACGAGGCACCCACGTTCCAAGACGACTACAGCGCGAGCTACTTGGAAATGATCCGGAGGTTTGCGCACATCATTGTCGGACAGTTTTGCGGTCACCTGCACTCCGACACGTTCCGGATCGTCTACGACCAACACAGTGAGTATAGATCCATACTCAAAAATAATTATTGTATAATCTGTTGCAGTATCGTTTGGTTGTGTAACGTTTGCTGTGTTTTCCTCTCAAAAAAAAAAAAAACTAAAAATTATCGTTCAGTTTTTTTTTTTTTTTTTTTTAATACCTCAATATTATCTAATACGCGCCCAAAAGTCTCACTCGATGTTAACCTATCTTGCGGACGAGTACAAATTGGACATTATAAATAGCTAATTATTTGTCAATGTATATTCATCGTCTCGATAAATGCTTATTATTTTTTGTTTTTTTTTCCTAAAATTATTTGAATAATTAAAATGTATTTAACCTTCAATAAATAGTTTTTCGCTGTAATGATTTAAAATCATGTGAAAAATATATTTTCAATCGACTCATAAATCTGCTTCAAAAATTATTCGTACAGTGATAAAAGATTTGACACGGAAGTATTGTGTCATTACAGTATCTCACTTCCTCATTCGGGCCAACGGAGCGGGGAGTAATAAAATATATTGTAATCGTGATTTTATTATTGAATCACTGATTTTTAATTACGGTATGAAAAAAAAAACTTTAGGGCTGCATTAACCTGACAACTCCGGTGTATTATTCGTTGGACCCTCACATTTATCCCTCGACAGACATGTCGATAATATAATATTTTATTTTTATTATAATTGTCACGTCGTATTTACTTGGTTTATATTTTGTCTTGAACCGGAAAATAATTACAACGACTTGTACATCTCCCCCCCCCCTCCCCCGACTATACTTAGACTACATAACTATTCGGGATTACAATTAGTTCTGCTACTTAGTAATAATGAAATATATTAACCTCGTGAAATGTCGAGAAAAATAGAAACACCTTGGGTGCTTCTTCGTATTTTCTCGGAAGCAGTAATGTTATTTAGCTATACGTGTTCAAAGTTTATACGAGCAGAGTAGTCGACCAACATTTTGCAGGGTATACCTCTGCCACTTCACTCCGCTCGTATAAACTTTAAACACGTATAACTAATTGACTACTCGTTAGATATCCAATTTGTATGTACTCATCGAAATTCTCAGAAAATTATTCCGATTAAAAATATGAAAATAAAATTATAATATGCTGCCATTCAAAAAAGTAATAAAACTGAATAATTATAACGACAAAAAATAGCCATATCTGCATAATATTATAATTGTTTTTGAAAAATGTCGTATGCTTAATTGTTATAAGTTCCAAATATTTAAAAACCATAATTATTACCAAAAACGTCAATACTTTTCAAGATAATGAATATTAAGGTATTTACCAGTAATAATATACGGATTCATCTTGTAAACTACCTAGTTAATCATACCTGGTTCACAGTAGTATTTGAAATTTACGTGCAGTTTTTGTTGAGTTAAAGTGTGTTTCGCTGTGATTTGACGACGAGGGCTGTATGGAAACATATCATAAGATATTATATATATTTAGGAACCTAACTATTACTATCTCGTATCGATTCCGAGGGCTGAAAATTATTTTCAAAACATTGATTGTTAGAATATAATGTGTAAAAATGTTTTAGAAACGTGTACACATATTGTCTACGTCTCTAACAATATTTAATATACCTTCAGAAAAATATATAAAGTATGTAAAAATACATCAGAGTTAAAAAAATAAATTGCATAACAACACAAGTGTTGTACAAAATTATTACTTATCGCATTACAAATATTAAAGGGTAAAGTTCAAAATAAAAAGTTTTAACGCCTTTGAAATGTGAAAGAATGAAAGCAAACTTTTGGGGATGACACAAAATTAAATTTAGTATATTAAAGGCGTGTATACTGTATACCTTCAATTTAATTATCTAAATATATTTTGACTTGTTCAACGAGTGCAAGACACGCACTTTACAGATAGCGAACAACTTTACATTATAATCTAATGAATAAAATTAGTCATTTTATGTGATATTTAAATGTTGAATACGAACCCCGTAAAAAGGACAACATTGTATTTTATGCTAAGCTTAGATTTGTTTTACCTTTTTTGATATGAGGCACACAGTTTATTACATCATTATAATATTATTATGTTACGAATGGTTGGGAAATTTTCCTAGCACTAAATTTGTTATAATCGATTGCATTTGATAACATCCTGCAAATAATAAACAGTTCATAAGTTCGATACTTATATTACGTATTGAATTGTTAATTTAATATACTTACAAATTAATTTTAGTTAATCTAATCGACGAAAATAGCCTTTTGTTTAGAAATTCGTCAAACTAGGTTATATCGAAACTCTGAATAACAATGTAAAGTACAGTAATTTTAATAATTTGAATGGTTAAATGGTTTAGATATTATTGTCTTCTCGAAGTATTGGGTCGATACGTCAAGTGTAACGAAACTCAGTACTTATAAATTCTTTTAAGAAATTCTATTTCAGATTCTATTTTCTGGCTCGTATTTAACCTTTAAAGAATTTACCAATATATTATGATTCTTTACTTCCGACATTAAATTGTATAATCTGCTCACTCGTATGGATACTATATAGAGTTATTAAATTCAATAGATATTCTATTTCTATGTGAGTAAATTATATGAGCGCTTTAAATGGGATTGTTGGAAGTCAGGGTTCACTACAGTCGTAATACGTAATAATTAAATTATTTTGTACACTTACACTTAAATAAACAGATAAAGACTTGAACGAAAAATAAACATGGCTTAAAATTTTTAATCCAAAACTATTTATAAACAAAAAAAAACTCTCCCAACAAAATATGGTATACCAAACTGTTGTTGTAAACGTGATTTCACGTGACTACGATGACGTCACTCGATATTATTGCATAACTGATAGGTATTATTATATAAAGGCGGAGGATAAAACCTCAAAATGTTCGTCATATCGCCTCAGTTTGTGTCAAGTACCCGTCAGGGAGTCGTCATCGGACTACTGCGTTGTACCTGTATCAGTTTAATATTTAATCAATTTTTTTTTTTGGAAAGGGTTTTAATGTTTCGTTTTTGTATAATCTAATAAACGATACGAAGTATTATTATGGGTAATATACTTCGTGGAGCACAATCAATTTCCCCCCGTACATAAAAATATAATCTCTGAAAATATGTATATAGAGCAATATAATGATATTTGAACTATTAAACTGTATTAATCAGTAATCTTATATTAATATTTAATATTGTCAATATGTTTTTATTGGGGACCTGTTTTATAGTGACCATTTTATAATGTTATTATTATGATTATACACTTTTATTTGAATTATCTTCTACAATATGTTTATTAATATTTATGCATTATTAAATTCTTAATGAATAGTTTTGTACCCTAAATATATTGGTACTAAATAAATTATGAACCTGTATTGTATAAACGATTTTAAGTTCCACCGTTGTTATAATGATAAAAAATATGTATCATAATAATAAAAATAAGGGCTCGGATTTTTTTTTTTTTTGGCCATACTTGACACGATGCTTTCCAAACTACAAATGTGTTTCAACTACACAGTATTTTAACAATTAACATAATTGGGTGAATTGTTTGTATTTGTTTGCTGTTTTTGACTTTTATAGCATTTTTAATTGTTTAGGTAATTTTTAACCTACTGGTTATAATAGCATAATATAAAAAAATGACCAAAGACTTTAGAAAAAAAAATTATAATTTATAACTCATATTATATCAGTTTAATGCTGTTCTAAAAATAAAATAAAACAAGTATCATATTTTAATTTATATCGCTCTAACCAATATTAAGTCAACTATTTATTATCATCTTTCATGATTTCTTTATCGTGAGATGATATTGTTTCGCTGATGCACATGATCGATTATCGGCCACTTTAGTCGTGTTGCATGAGTACTGCAGATTCGTCTCATGCTTTGTATTTTATTTACACGATTTTAATATTTATTTATTTTGCAAATTCATCATTTTTGTTCCATAATCGATTTTTCCTTGCAATTACCACTCCACACCTTGCAATTAATATTATTTTTTTTAAATTTAGTAGTATAATGTTTCAGAGTTGGTTTTTAAATGTTAAATCTTCCTACTTAGATGCTTTTATGCATAGTATTAAGTAGATAAAGTGATATAACTATATAGTTACCCATTTAATAATTATTATATTTTACCACACTAACAATATAATATGTGTGTATATTTTTTCAATACCCAAAATATGATAAATTAAAAAAAAAACAATCATATTATTGACTTTTGTATAGAAAAAATTTAAAAAAAATAATAAATAATATTACTGTTAAGTATATTACTTATTATATTACTAATTGTACGAAAACATGATTACAATATATAGTACTTACACAGCTGATTTTTAATATTGTGTTCATTAAAAATCACAAATCACAAAATTTCAATGTGAAGTATAAAAATCTACGGGAAAACGATTGGGTCACGATTGTCACGAGTGGATAATACCTACAATTTAAAAAAGACATAATATAAAAGTTTGAATTTTGTTCTCGAGCGTTATTTTCTAAAATAAACACGAATACACATTTGTGTGTTAAACTGATGTAAATAAACCGATGGCCATTGGGCCAGCCATCGATTTCATCAAAAATATTATAATCTTTTCATTTTACGAGTAACGCATTATTTACGAAAAACGATTAATAACAATAATGCATTTGCTCGAGAAACGATAGCACGATACATAACTATAATATTATAATTTCTAAATAATTATTATTATTGTAGCCGTTGTTACATGGCGTAATATACTAATATATTATATTATGATCGTATTCGTAAAGAATATTTCCAAACGTACTTTTGCACGTCTTGTTCAACGACCGCGATTATAGTATTATATCTGACGTCCGTGAACAAAACAAACTTAAACTATATCCGTTCGCCTCGCCGCTTTTGGCGCAATCACGTACAACAGGCGTATAATATTATAAATAATGTCGAATTATCGTCCAAACCATGTTTATTGTTTGTCTGTTGTATTATTTTCCTCTTCTCGTTTGAAATGGACGTTAACCAAGTGCGTTTCCACGATTTGTGTTGCAGAAAAACCAGTGTCGTGGATGATGGTTGCACCATCGTTGACGCCCAACAAGTCTCCCGGCGTGTCCAACAATCCTGGCTTGAGACTGTACAAATTCAACACGAATTCGGGCCAAGTAAGTATACGCCAAGTTAACTCTACAACCTTACTTACATCATACATGACTGCTGTTTAACGACTGCGATATAGATATTTAGTTTTGAACCCGACATTTTGGTCACGGTTTTCGTCGTTTTTCGACTATCCATTATTGAAAATCATGATTTTCCAAGTGTTTTTTAGTCTTATACCCACGGTCTGTACTTCGAGTCACGTGACTAGATACATTAGATGCGACATGTTCGGATATGCGTCAATTTTTCGCCAAAAATAGTTCGTGCGACAGTTGCTCGAGCGTCTAATGATCGCGCGGAAATTGTTCGAATACGAAAATTGTTCCTGCCTACATTGTTCGAATGTTCACAGTATTTTTAATTCAAAATAGGCTCACATAACATTAAAATATTTTTTTTTCCTTACATTATTAATTCAAAATAATTTTACATAGGTAACAATAAATTCAAATGTCAATAAATTAATTTTTTTATAAATAGTTGTACACATATACATATTTTATATATATAGGTACCTAATAATACATAAAAATAAAATACAATGTAGCTATGTATTTTGCCCCATTTGTGGACGTCAATATAAAAGTACATAGTTAGAAGTTGTTATATTTGCAATTGAAAATTGTATGCAATACTACAAGATTGTTGACTGTTGCACGGTTATTATTATTCTCTGCATTTTTTTTTTTTAATTTTCACTTTTTTTTACAAATTTCTTTGGTGCTGGTTCTTCACCCGCAACATACTGCTGAATTCTTAAAGTATTAATACTTTCTTCTTTTTGAAATGCGTGTATAAGATTGATCGATGTTGGGACGAATTAAGTGTAGACGAAAAACAACTGTGCCATCTTCCAACTGAATTATTAGTTCGTTGAAGGCCTGCCGCTAGTAAAACATGACAATTCCATTAATGGTCGGATCTCTTTGGCCTTTAAAACGCAAACAGCCAATCTAGGTGCACTCAAAGTCGTCTGTAATTGGCATTAAAATTAGTTCTTCATTCGTAATCTGAAAGTTTTTCATTGTCTTATAATATGACTTTGTTTCGTGGTACATAAGCAAGAGCAGATAACATACGAATATGTGAGGCAAATTCAGAATCTTGTGTGTATTTTTCTAACCCTGCTTCTTGTAAGTGACGCCAGAAACATTGTGATAGATGAGAAAAACATGCTGCATTTATTGAAGTATTTGGAAATTTATATTTAACAGCGTTCATCGCTGCTATTTCAAAATACATCAAAATAGACTTGGGATTTTAATTTTGGTGCAATGATTAAAGAGCCTTAACAATTTGTTTATACGTATCTTCTTGTCTGTAGGGTAAAAAAACGTAAGCAAAAGGAATAACATTTGAATAATATACAACATGAATGGTACATAATTGTTTTAGATATATGCGAAGAATCAAAAGTGCCATTAAAAAACCAATTAAAGCGATTATTCATTAACTCCAAACTCTTTTTGTTGAAAACAATAATATTCTTTTTGTATCCTATTCGTTATCAAAAACAATAAGATCGTCGTCTTTGTTAATTCCTCAAGAATATCAAAACTAAAGTTTAAAAGGTTTACAGGCGTATTTACTTAAGTTCGACGAGCACGTTGTATTGTTCTTTTTAAACTAGCTACGTTGGGTAATTAACCTGCAACCGATAAGGGGAGCTAAAAAGACATGTATATAAGGCTCTATAAATATTCAGTCGAAAATTCAAGTTCTTAGACCAAGTTTCGAGCACTTTTTCATAACTTTATTATACAATTCGAAATATTTAGATAATTTAATTTATCTGACTTGCTATTTCCAATGACTCCATATGACTTGTGGCTGCGCTGAGATTTGTGCATCGTGTTTCATGTTGTAGATTAATTTCTTTTTCTCCACTTGAGCGTTAATGGTACATGATAATGTTCAAAACTTTTAACAACTTCTTCATTTTCCACATGAACACGACCACCACACTTATATTTTTTATACAACGAACATTTCCAATGAGCTTTTGTTTCCGTTTGTTTTTCGGGGTAGAACAAGTGGCTTTCGTGTACCAGTAACCTGCACCACGATCACTTTTTATGTATTTCAAAGGCATAGTGATTAAATATTAATTACGGTAAAATAAAATTGGACGAACGAAATACTGGTTGTACCGTTGTATAATTTTTGTGTCAGGTGTGTGTAAGTATTAGTATTGTTATTAGTACCATAATTCCAGAACACGCATTAGTAATGGGATTTTTTTGTCTGTTAGTTAATCCATATAATAATTGATAACGATAAGTTATCGATATGATTTTAAAACGTGTTTGCAAGAAGCCACATTTCACACTTTTGTGTTATGTGTGAGCGTTAAAGATATATAATGTAGATTATTGATTACAAAATATATTTTATGATAATCAAGTCTTATTTTTTTCACGAACAATTTATGCACAAAAATCTATTATAATATATAATCGTATTCGAATAATTTTCCTGCAAATAATTGTCACTCGAGCAACTGTCACGGGAACTCTTTTCGGCGAACAATTGACGCGATACCATAATATCGTTAGGCATATTTTGTATTTTACAATATATACATACCTAAGTAGTACCTAAGTTATAATAGCGTATCGGTACAGAACTCTATTTGATGTGCTATTGATATGTGTTTTCGGAATATTATACAATCATGACAGCAATACCGACTGTTTTTTTTATTCAGATCATAGACTACACGCAGTACTACATCGATCTGGAGTCATCGCCCAACGGCGATCCTGACGACTGGAGGATCGAGTACAACCTGACTCACTACTACGGACTCCACGAAATCACGGCCAGGTCTTTGCACGCTATCGCCGAAACGTTCCAGGACGACGAGTCGGCGCAGTTCGACAGGTACATCATATAATATCATTAAATTATAATACAATCAATCTGCCGGGTTTTATAATACGTACTATACACGTAGGTAATTAAACGACAAGCAGTAGAAGGTTATTATTTCTGGCTCGTTTTTCGGTACACGTTTTGTCCATGACGATTAATCATATTAATATATCACGCAAGTAATCAGCGACCACCCTACCGCATAAATTTTTTTCCGCGGAAATCTCATCATCTATTTAACTTTTTCCCCCCCCCCCCCACACACACACACACACAGAGCAAAACATAGAAACGATCGTGGTCGTAAAATTATGGATTTATCAGAAGCGCTGCTCAAACCATATACCACTGACCTAGATAAATTAAAATGACCTGTATACGCACCATATTCATGGTACTATGTATGAAAGAGTAGCTATTGGTGTGACGCAATCCGTGTGGGATTTTCTGGTACGAAAATAATCGACTGGTAAATCGATCCGATAATTGTATGATGTATCCGCCGCACCCGTTAAAATGTTTTCCAAAAGGTGTAGTGTGCGTGCATTTGAATCATATTTTAGAGACAAATAAAATATTATAAAAACGACATCACTATTGTGTAACATCTAAAGTCTTGTGCATGCATAATGTTCGTCGTATATATTGTAAAAAATGTATTGTAAGGACACGTGTTATCGTCATTCATTCGTGTACATATTATTATCTACCTACTACGTTCCTCGGGCGCCGCTGGATGAAAACTTTTAATGGTGATAAAAACAAATAAAGGCACGAGATTTTTTTTTTTTATTCGGTTTTTATTCGCCGCTTTATATTTTTTTTATACATAATATACGCCATTTCAACAATAGAAGCTACACGCGTGGGGATAACAAAAAACAACTTCAACCCTTTAAGTTTAGTGGGTGTGTGCGTTGTGCACTCGACCGAAATAAATGTTCGATATCATGTAATATGTATAAATATAGATGTATTATATACTACGTTTTTTTTTTTTTAAGAATGCAAATAATTGTACAGCCAATTTCAATTCTGAAAAAATATTTTCAACAAATCTGTCGGCCACGCAATTTTAGTTAAATTTTTTTTTCCAAATAAATAACTACTATCACTATTGGAAACGCTATAACACTGTATGCCTATCGCCAACAATTATACTTGTCGTCGTTTTCATAAATCAAAGATTCTTGAACTCTGATGGAAGCGATGTTTTGTTAAAAATGTTCAATCATTACGTCATCTCGACATTAACATTTTATTTTTGGAACTTCAACTATCGTCACCTATTCCCACTCGAAACAAAAAATAATACGTCGTTGAACGCTCATCGAACTTTGAACAATAGGTTGAATACAATAATAATATTATTATTATTGTTATACCGTTATATCGATACACTACAATTCTGGTATCTGGTAATATAACGACATTAACACAAATGTTCTCACATCATTATCATAATCTATTGTTGCCGATGGTCAATTTACGTGGACTGCATTATACATAATTGATCTACTCGTGTACTCGACTCTATACCTGCAATTTCGCATAATTGTATTAAATCTGCCAAACTGTGTTCCTACATAATAACCGTTGGCATCCAACCAACATGCGGTCCAAAGTCGCTCTGGATAATGATATTCTATTTCGGTCACTAATCGTATATCATAAACCGGAACTGTCCGTAACATTATTACCTACTGCAGAAAAGTGAAAATCCAGCAGAACTGCGTATGAATCGAGAGCACTGCGACCAGCACCAAAATGTTTGTCTCGTTATTATTTACCACCAGAGACGTAATAAAAGACATCGATCGTATCTACAATATATTAGCCGGAAAAAGTTCAAAAAATTTAAATCAAACGAATTTTTTGCTAATACTCAAAAGTTTTTATCGTGCAGCCAGCTTCGAAGAAAAAAGATAAATACCAGTATTTCTTATATTATTATTTGCCCGAAAAAAAAGTACGGTCTGAAAGAGTTATGTGATTATACGCTCACAAAAAACTCCGAACACGAATAAAATATCTCTATCTCGGCTTTTGTAGCATCCTTCATAATAATATACGCTGACTAAGAAATAGCTTTAGTTTCGTTTTTATTGACTTTTAAATTCCTATCTGAGTGAACTGTAAAGTTACTGTCCGTTTTTCGAACGCGTGCAATTTTATTTTTTCTTCGTTGTATACAATGCTATTGTATCCTTCTCTAATTTCTAATTTATACAAGTTTGATCGCATATCAAAATAATAGCCCACTCGTCACTAAAAACGAAATCCACGTCACATAATATTCGTGAAGCTGCGCCGAGCACAATATTCTATAGGTACTGCAATGAAGCAGAGAGAAAGACCTTGGGTTTCCGTACAATGATGACATTTATATTATTATCTTACATCGAAATAAATGAGAGTGTATATGAATGAATAAACCGTATATCCCATTAAAACGGAAGCCGTTTTATTGCTGTCTACTTTATTTATAAAAATCTTTTGTTAAAACAAAATTCTTTATTTTTATCTATAAGTGTTGAGAAAAAATTGAGTTTCTTCTGTTTAGCAAAACGCATTTTAATGAATTTTTCCCATTGAATGGCGTTCTAATAAAATAAAAATAATAGAACCGACGAGCCACTGCGGAAATAAAAAAATAAATAATAACACGTAAAATTCATTATTTGAAAATGATTGACATTTTATCATTTATATACGATAAATTCAAATTCCCATCTCAGAATACCGTCTCGTCGTGTTTTTCTTTTGTACGTTCTACTCTCTCGGAAACCCAATCATATTGAATGTAATATTGTTGCAGTTTTACAAAACGTTCTGGCCAATATACAGCCGAATGTAGTTTAAATCATAATGTGATCGGAATATTCCCTACATAATATGCTCGTCAAAGTGTGCAAAAAAAAAAATAATAATAATAAAATATGGGTTTTTCGCAGCCGCAGCAATGTAATAAATTATATTTATGTATAGAAGTACTCATCGAAATATTAAAATATTTATTTGTTGTATAATGTTAATGTTACATCGAACGCGAGCGCGTTATTTCGGTAAGTAGGTACTCTCGTTTTCCTTTTGTAAGATATCGTCAAAAGAGCCAGACAATGTGCACGAAAGTTTCGACAAGCTACGTAATACATAGTGTATAGTGTGTCGTCACGATTAACTTTCTTACCATAGAATGGCGAATTTAATTTTAAATTGCATACTTGACCTATTTAAACTGAAAATCTTAACACAATAAAGTCGTATGCGAGGTTTCTTACCATATGTTATTATAGATACGTAATATACCTAAGTGTTGCTATAATAGCGCACATACTTACACCATCATTTGTGCTTTTCTGTAATGTGTGTACCCAATAGTACACATATATAGCAGTACAATAGTGAATACGTATATATATATATATATACATCATATATGCTGTAGATGTACGTGTAAAAGGATGATAAAAAAAAAACAGAATAGAAATTGAAAAGTCGATGGGTGTTTTTCTAACCACATTATAATACTATAAATAAAATTGCATCCAGAATGAGAATAATGAGTCAAAGCGCCTGATTTTGTCTGACAAGTGCACTACGAGCACCTACTTCAAATCTAATGTAGGCCCATAGGGTGAAATACCGAAGAGTTATCGTTCGTATTACGACTTCAATATAGTATTTGTTTAATATAGTATTATGTATCGTGATAAAAAAAAATAAAACAAGTATCAAACAACAATAGAGAAAAGTCGTAATTCAATATAAAAAAATAAATACACATTATACTATATAGTTTTAACAGAAAACAAAGTAATCAAAACCCAAAAGACGCTAAGAAGCTTCGGACAGTGTAAGTTTGCTTCAACGTTGTTTATGAAAACGACTTTGTGGGTTCAGAGATTCAGTTATTGTTCACGATTCTTAAACAAAAAAAAACTTCAAAATAATCCACCTTACTGCCGGCTGCTCTACTCTCGCCATTCTCGTCCCCTTCACTCACGTCACCAATGGTTCACAACTCGTAAGTATGGGACACTTATTACTACTGCTTCGTTTTCCTTTCTTCGTCCTGTCTCCCCGTCTTTAGTTTTTCCGACAAAAAATGTTCAACGCAAACATCTCTAAGTAGGATATATACACGGTTTTCGTCCGAGAAACTTTCGGTTTATTCATTTTTTTTTTATCACCAACCCTTGGGACAACGGCGGCCACTTTCCCAGATTTAAAATTTACCCTAGAGCCTTGTGCACTCTATTAATATTTCTTTTAAGAATTCTTAAAAAAAAAAAAGTACGAATTGTTTTCCCCTGTGGCCGGTGGTTTGTCTCAGAACGTCCTAACGGTTCGCAACACACCTCCATGTTCTAAAATCATCCAAGCATAACCTCGATATAACTTGGTTATGCGTGCTGTTTAATCAGTGATACCGTTTTGATACATTTTTTCGGCCCCATCAAATGATGACTGCAGATGTGTGTGTGTGTGTGTGTGTGAAAAAAAAATGTCTCATACCTAATACTTGCTGTGAGTGATAGATTGCCAACAAGTCTCGATTGAAAATTATGAAACATTCAGTACACTGCATAACATCGTGCTTAATAATTAAACGGCTAACGGCGGATCCGTAGGTATTAGCGACGACAGTCATCTCAAACGTTCGCAGTTGACGCAATTTAAAAATAATTTGTGGTGCATATTATAGGAAGGGGTGTAGAGAAAGGGACTATTTGATGGGAGATGGTACGCCTAGAAACGCTGAAGTCAACGAATACGAGAGTATAAGATGGTTTATTTTGTTTTACCGAACGACAAAATATTATTAAAATGTATAATAATATGGCTTAGAAAAAAAGCTGCTGACCTATAACTCGAGCATTATTAACTCGGTGACATAATATTACAGTGGATTGAATGTGGCTTGGCGCAATATTGACTTGCAATACACTCAATATACTGTAATCGGTCGCGATTGAATAACCATCCACAATGTGATGTTATAGTATTATTACGTTTTGTCAATTTTCCATTATTCTCCTGTTCGGCGTGGGTGTTTTCTGTTTGGGTCATATTATTAATAATCGCTAGTCAGTGTTGTAAAAATAATTTTCAAAAGTATCTTAGTATTACTCAAAGACTTTGTGCTCATGAATTAAGAAATTACATAAACTTAAATACGACTTTTTCATAGTACTAATTTGATATACAATTGACGTTTTGTTTAATGATTTCGACTGATTTGACAAATTGCTTATTATTCATCACATAATATGGTAGGTTATAGAAGTTTATTTTTATATAAACCGTCCGAATACTTTTTTTTATTACAACGATCAATGATCTTTAACAATACATTTCAAAAGTGTTCATAAATATTAAATAAATAAATATTTTTGGTGGATATATTCAAAACATGTTTGGATTATCACTCCCAGCGGAGAGACCCCGGTCGTTTTAGTAATTTATGGGAACTTTTTTGTTGATATAACCTATATTATTTGTTAAATAGCTATAATATATACTCTAACACTCGTTACACCCTATTTATATATTATGCACTAAAGATACACTATAAAGGATTGCCCAATGCATAATATACACACTCCACACTTTTCAATCCCTTCAAATTATTACTTTTTATCAAAATGACACACCATAGTTAGTTCTAAAGCAGTCATGAACACGAGCAAACTCACCTGTACACGTATTAACATCCATATTCCAAGACAATAAGTACTACTTTAATTATAATAATTACTATAGATTTATAAACCATAAGTGTCTTATTATTGATGGAAATCTCATACAAATAAGTGCTGTAACCCCCAGCTACGGAAAACTTATCTTTAAGGAATAGAAAACCCTCTCTGGACAACTAATATCGTAACAAGGTCCACCGACCACGTTTCAATACTTATATACTTACATGTATTATCATTCAGCCTAGATAGTACCCAATGGTATTAATGTTTATTTATTTAAGTTTAATATAATTATTCACATTTTATTGATAAAAATTGCATATTATTTAATATACATTTTAATCATTATCTATCATTCTATCATTTACCATCTACCTATATCTGTATAGATGCTTATTAAATTTAAAAAAAAAACATTGTTTATTCAAAATTATTATTATCACTCATATCAGAAACAGCATATTTTGAAAAATATAAGATTTAGTCAGTGATCGTTTATTTCTACAACAGTTTCAAGATCTTGAATTCAAAGAAAGATAAAAATGATTTAAAATAAAGTCAATACAGAAGTATTTTAGGTATTTAAATTCACAAAATTTATACTTTTTGATAGATAATAATTAAAACACTTGGACAAGTATTTAAATAACAAACTCACATTTACTTTCATTCAAACGCTTAACAACACTGATAGTAATTAAGTACGACACACCTACGAGACACTAATGCAATCGGTATAGTGTAACACAATATTATAATAACAATATAATAATTATATGTAATATATTATGCTCTATTGAATTGTCCCCAACGAAATACTCGACACCCTTTAACGCTTGAGATCCCATTGTCCGTGTCGTGTGCGGAAAAACGGGAAAACCTATCTAACTGGTACCCTTTTGTCCGGTGAGCGTGAATATTTTAATATTCCTTGTCGAGCGATAATTATTATTGTAATTGCTTAAGATGATTTATGACTGGACCGAAAGGCTATTATACAGGCCATTTATTTTTTTAAAAAAAATGTAAATTTACGTAAATTGACCCGTGGCTGCCCAACATCATTTCATAGAATGAATCTCTTAAAATTTTAGTCCCTGACGAAACTCGCGAGAATATTATAGTGGTTGCTTATCGTTTTCACCATTGTTTTTATCTTTTTCATCTCAGGTATTATCGCCTTTTGTTGTGCGAGAACTATTATTCGGGACTAAAGAGTGCTCGAAAAATTCATGTAGCTATTTAAAAAAGTTCGGAAATCGTGTAAGTATATCATAAACATTGATGAGGTCATATTTTTAAGGCGTGTCAGCAATAGCAATTTTCACGAGTTCTGATCACAATCGTTTTTTGAAGATTACAATAAACTTTTATGTCTCTAAAATTTACCCCTCAATACCGAAGTCAATTTATTTTTCTAATTAAATCGTGTACTATAGATTTAAATTATTTTATGCTTGAATAGCCCCATGGATTGACCGTCAACTACTTGTATATTATAAATTGTTTGACGTCAGTTTTTAATCTGCAGTTGGTTGTTAAAATATACAATTAATCGTCTCCAATTTGATCGTCTGGCAAAAATTGTATAAGCAGCAGATAAAAAAATAATAATACCACGCTCACATAAAATTCCCTCTCGTTTTAGTCTTGTGTTTAGTATTCTAACCGTCTAAACTTTGCTCAAATGTTTCATACCCTTGTGCCTATTAATAATTACTATTCGATTTTTAGACTTACGGTTTAAAGAATTCAAAAACAATCCTGTTGGAGCGTATTATATTATTGAACTCGTGTAGCAGAACCGTCCTGGGTCAACACCTATAGTAAAACAATATTTACATTTCGGCCAATGCTTTAATACTCTCGTCTATGTACTTTCCAATTTCGTTCGATATTTCACTAAATTTTAGGGACTGTCAGGGTCCGCCACAAAATATATATTATAAATATCGCCACCCTGTCTCGAGACGATTAGATAGGTGAAATGTTTCGCTGTAGTCATATGTAGACATGTTATGTTTATGCATATATATATAGCATAATAATAAAAGAAAGAAATAATACATCAAATATACTACATATAATACATCGAATATAATATTATTGTTGTCTGGAAATCGATAAGGGCGAGTTAGTCAATTATCACAACAATTGTGGGTGAACGTGATAAAAAAAAAAAATGTGATTTATCTGAAATCACACAATTACTTTTATTGAACGTTTATTACAGAAAAAATAATTGTTTCCTAAGATATATTTCGGCGTTGAACCACGACGGGTAGGTTTGCATTTGTCGAAAAGTGAACATTTCTGCTACCTATTTATACGCTTTGGCTTAAAAGGGAAAATGTTGGTTTTTCACAGAAAACCCCAACTATTATACCACCGCCGAGTCGAACGCGACGTGTGGTATGCACCGGTGACCACTAACAATTTTCTCTTCCCCAGCAGTGCGCGATCGATTATGTTACGATACGTCGTTATTGACACGGTGGGCGAGGGAAAGGTTTATATTTATTGAAAAAAAATCGAGAAAACGAAACGTTCGGTAGTGTGGTTATTTGACCTCCTAAATATTTCAATAGCCTTTCCGAAAGCACCCAAATCGCGTAGTGTTTGGTTACGCCAATAATTTAGTATTTTGTATTTATATCGGCGGGCATCTGCAGCAGCTGGCGATTGAATTAAAACCCGTCGCATTGCAACTAAATGTTCAAACTGTATATTTCGAGGTCGGTGTTTTGCTGGTACCTACTGTTCTGACCTATAACGATGATCGGTCAACGGTGTAAAAAAAAAAAAAAAACATCAGCTCCGCTCGTGAATTCAACGTGTATAATATAGCTATATGGCGCCGACGAAGAACACGATGGACACGATAATACAATAATGTTCAAATATTTATAATAATAATAATAATAATAATAATATGTAACCATTTCTGTCGTACAAGAGCGAAAAATTCATACGACCAAAATGTGGTGTGTTCGCAGGTACATAGAGGCCAACTCGGTGAGGCAGTTCAAACCCAAGGATTGCAATCTGGAGTGCAGACGAGCTCAGTATTGCGCTGTCACCGAGCTCGACTACGGTCGGTTTCACAGTTGCGTGGAGACGGCCGCCGAGGCGCTTTCCGGGTCGGTCCGTCCGCGGGGCGACGAGGCTCTTTTGGCCGCCGCCGTCCTGCTGACCGCCGTGGCGCTGACCCGTCGCCGCCACCACTAGCCACCGACGACGCAATCAACGTCTTTGGAGACGTCCTCTCGCGCAAACGCATGTAGAATGATATTATAACGACGGTAAATGTCGACTCGACGTTTTTCTCTATCTCTTTCTCTCTCTATCTCTCTCTCTCTCTGTCTCTCTCTCTCTCTCTCTCTCTCTCGTTCTATCTTTGAACCATCTATCTCTCTCTCTCTCTCGCTCTCTCTCTCGGTGTCTCCTCTCTACATGTCTCGATTCTCGCGGGGTCGCGGATCTCCGTGTGTATATAATGTTTTTTTTAGAAAAAAACTCGCGTCGGACGTGTCACGACTTCTGTCAAAATCGCGTCGCGGCGGTCTATAAAAAATATATATACGTACACAATACGACAATGTTCCGTATATCTACCGCATTACAATATAATATTCGCCCACAAACCCTCCCACTACCCTCCCCACCGAAGGCCGCAGACTTCAAACGCTCGTGTGTTCGAAAGCAGCGCGAGACAGCGGAACAAGAGCGATTCCCCCCCCTCCCCTATCACGATGCCGAGTTTGATTTATTCCACGTCCGTATCTGTCGGTTCTTACGTCTGCGGCGGGGACACCTCGACACGAAGAGGAGGGTTTATTATTTTTATTTTATTTTTTCCCCCCATCGAACCCGCCGGTTTTTTTTCCTCTCCGCTAGACGTCTCGGATCGTATATTTTACAGCCTCTGATCGGCGCACTCCGATAATTTATTATTTTTACATCCGTTAACGAGAAAATATGGTGCTCATCCTGTACACGCAGCCAGCGCCTATATAATATATACGTTTATTATATGCGGTTCAGGGCGATTTTCTTTTCCCACACCGATCAATCTGCTTGAGATATTTTACCCTGTCCGTTTATTATAGTCCATAATAATAATGTACTGCACAATTTTCGTACTACGTTTTATTTTCTATTGCCTACGCCGTCGTTTGAAAATATTAGGATTGCTGCGTGTAATATATTATATTTGGAAACCAATACGTCCTTTGACATTGTGCGTGGAACACAATATTAAAACAAACCAAATTTGCGTTGTTTGACGTTATTAACAATTAATAATAATATATTGAAATATTACATATATTTTTGAAAAGTCATTACCATATATTATGTTACCATTATGAAATATCCGTCATTTCGGGGTAAAAAAAATATTAAATCGTCATAATAATTTCTTAAATGTATCGTCGCGTAACGAAAACATTCAAATGCAGCTTTCGGTCGGTTGGAAAATAAAATAAACTATTATAATAATAATATTAACAACAAAACATTTTATTTATCGATAATACGACATAGATCGAATTCTATAAAAAATAAATAAATAAATAATGGCTAATCTCACAAAAAAATGTATTGTTCATTACATATAACGACAATATCTTAATTTAGGAGATGTTATAACTATATTATATTATGTAGATTGAAAAAATACAAAGCGATTGCAACTGTCAATCGAACCATGTTTGCACGACCTTCGCCGATATTGGTATAAAAAATATTAATTAATTTTGTACCAAAAGCTACCTAAAAAAAAATGCATATTAATTCATCGACTACTTGCGTGTTTGATAATATTGCATTGCAAAGATTGATATTCATACTTTACATTTAAATTAGTTGACTTCAACTGATTTCGGTAAAATAAATTCCCCCCTCTCCGGAAATATACAATTTTCTCTGTGTAAAACTCTAGTTTCCGAAAACTCAACGAATCCAAAACAAACAACGACCACGGAATTGGTGATATAAAATCAAACACATCTTGTAAACACGACGTATTTTGTACATTATTCTAACTGAGAGGTATACAAAACTAATCTTGAAGTTTAAAAACATTGAACTCGTATTCGATATATTTTGAATGATTTATTACAAAATAGGTACCGTAAGAAGGATGATGGTGATAATAATTTGGGCCTGGTGTGGTCACAGAGGTTGGCCGTGTTCTGAGGTCGTGCATCCGTTGACGTTGCGTCGCTAGTTCCCTGATGGGTAACCACTCGCGTTTTCAGTGACGAATTCTCGCCCCACAAACACGTGTTACAAATCAACCATACTCTCCTCCACAGTAGGTAACAATCGACTAATAACCTTAATTCAAAAAATAATAATAATAATAATAATAATAATAATGAAAATTATAACGAAAACATTTCGAGAACAGAACATAACATACCACTACTGTGTACAATTTAGGCAGTCAATAATATATCATCTTTAGCAGTTTCGATGGTAGAATAGGCGTCATGTACCGAAAATACGATAATAATTATTATATTACACACAACACCAATGATTAATATTCTTAAAACCGTTTCTATTTATCGATTCACACATTTTTCATCAAAATAATATTATTACCTACTTTGAATGTATAAAATAAACTGTATCATAATATCGAGGCAAAACCGTGTTTAAAAAAAAAAATTATCTTGTTCCGAGCTGAAATTAGGATGTTCATCGATTTTACAGCATATGAAATTATTACTTTCGTTCGTAAAAGGTATAGTTCGGGGTTGTAGGTTTAATCGATTTTTTTTAATAAACGAGTGTATACTAATATGATACAACATAATATGGTAAATAGCCACGTTGACGTGTGAAAAACACACTTCATAATTATTATACGGACTGAAATATTGTTGAACAAGGCCAGTGGATGAGTGCAACGGCTTTTAAATTCAATTATATTACCCAAAATAATACTATTATTTAATTGGGCAGAATGATATCGATATAATTAAATACTTAGGTACATTTATACTGAATTTTTGAATCGAGTTCAATGAAAATTATAATTTATATTGTTTTGTTCTTCTAAGTTTTGACAGCAAATACATTTAACAATTAAATTATATATCTCCAATCATATAAGAACTATCTAAATACAAGCAGTCAAATATTATTTAATATAGTTTATAGAAAAATGTCTTTGATTGCATACACTACCACCACCCACCTCGCCCATCTAAACTATAAACTCCGTCCATCTCAAACACTTAACCATATTATTATTTTGATATTCTTACAATTACGACGGACTACTTTTTTATTTTTAAGAAAGCGCCTCGGTTTTTGCATAATATTATGTCCAAATTTCTAATTATTATCCTCCGCGTAAAGTTACATCGCGCTTAGCAAGCATACACTGTGGTTAGTGAATCGACCAAGAAGAGCCCTATTGTCTGTATCCACCCATTTGAACAGTAATTTTACATCGATATCGATAGTTTGCGATTAGGTGGGTAGTACAACAATATTTTGTTGCAAAGATGTCTGAAGAACAAAGCATATTGTCTTAATTTTCATATTTTTTTTATGGTTTATCATTTTATGGCCATCATGCTGTCAGTGAATATATTAGTGTTAAGGCTACAATACCGACGAACATTTTTTTTTATTGAAAATTGTATTGCCGCCGAGAACAAATTTAAAGTCGGATTTTCTGGTCGAAGTAATTATTAAATAAGTATTACCGAATAATCAAACTTGTTTCATTATTAGTATTGCTGTAGAAATATATGATAATATATAGTCACTTACACTCGACACGGGTGGCGAGATTCTGAACAAATGATACATAAAAAGTCGAACCTCGTAATATTAAACAGGAAAACAGGTACGAAACAAAAATATATTATTTTAATGTTATGGACCAACCCTGCAGCCGGCGGAAAATTTCCGGCTGAGCGTTTGGTGCGCTCGCATTAGTGCTGGTGTGTATAATTCGACACGACGACGCGCGCGCGTGCATTATCGTTTCGCTCAAAACTTTATAGATAACACCTACCTTGGTTATTTATACCTATACCCTGGTATGTACCTACCCAAATAGACACGGTTTGCAGCCCGAATATGGACGCGACGGGTCCATAAAAAAAAATGTGCCCTCAGTAATATCACTATCACTATTACTGTATGTATATGACTGTTATTATTATTATTATTATTATTATTACTATTATTACTACTATCGCTGCACCCGATACGACCATCGAGAGGGTTGAGAGGGTGTGTAGGTGTATGTGGGTGTACGTCCGTGAGAATAATGCACGAATACACTACATTATTGCACGAAGTACTATATACACATGTACGTAATATTGTTATTATTATGTACGTCGTAAATTCGCATCTACTCGGAGACGTCGGGGATTACCGTCGTTTTTCAATCCTCCCCACGTCCCTCTGACCACTCCATCACTATGTCTCCCCATCACCCCCCCTCGCCGTGATTCGCTACATTTAACGCAATATTTCTACCGATGATGTTTTGTTATGTGTACTTACGCAAACAGACACACACACACACACACACACACACACACTCAGTATAATATGATACTATGCGCGTGTGTGTGTGATGTGTGCGCACGTCGAGCAGATAGGTAAATATAAATATTAATATATATTAATATATTAATATAGGTATATTGTAAACTGTACAGAGCGATTGCCAGGACGCGATTTTGTCGGCTTGGTGCAAAATAAAATATTCCAATTCTGTTGTGTTGTATATGATTATTGTAGGCGCGTCTCCTCTGCATATGGCGAACGTTTAAATAGTTTTTGCGCTTGCTATGATATTATCACACGGTCATCGGTACCTACCTGTAATGATGATTATGATATAATGGCCGTACGCGATCGTTGGTACGGAACAATAATAAATTACTATCTCTGATAAAACAGTCACGGGTAGCCTAGCCAACGCGATTCGCTAGGGATTTGTCTGTAAAACGTTAAGATGAAGTACCCCAGTGATATATAAAATCTAAAATTTAAATTTAAACTATTTAAACTTCTGCAATGAGAGACCGCGTCGGTCGATAAGCGTTGAAACATTAGGCCTGTTGCCAATTGCCATATTAAAATATATTATTATCGTATAATATAAAATATATAACATTTTGAAAATAATTATACAGTCGGTGTTTGAACTGAAAATGTAAATTAATTATTTAGAAAATTGTTTTTTTTTTTGTTTTAATTTTGTTTTACCCGACTAACCATAATATTATGACCAAATAATGATTTTATAATAGTACGATTAAAACTATTATTACTATTATTATATTGATATGACATGTTATTAGCCCATAAATAAATTATATGTATTATATAATAATATAAATATATTCGTTGTGGACACCATTACACAATTGTATTTTATTATTGAAACCGTTAAGATATTCTTCGTGTTTTGATGTCGTGGAATATGAAAATTAAATTAAGTGAAATATTATAAAATGATTATACAATTATTACTATTATTATTATTATTATTATTATAATTATTACAACTATACTATAAATATTATTAAAAAGAAAAATATTGTGTTGTTTTAAGTTATGAAATTTTTTTTTATGCATTTGTTTTGTATTTATAATAATTTTATGTTGCTTTTTATGAATAACTAATGAATATAATATAATGATTTACGAAAAGGCCAAATAGTTCTCTGAATTTAGAAACCTTTAGATAATCGTGTACAGAAGAATAAAGGTTACATGAATTTCTTCCGACGAGAAATCAATACGCCTTGAATAGCTCCCGCAGGCGGACCAAGAAGTCAATTGTTGTTTGCTATCGCGATGGTGTGGGAAAAGGAGACGTGATTAAAAGTAAGCTCTTAAACAAGAATTGGCCCAAAACCAATAATTTATGTGAATATTACCCATTTACGTCTGTGTAAATAACCGAATCAGTACAATAACAACTCGTACCGTCGGATAACATTTTATATTTTAAAAAAATCGTCTACTTTAATTTATCGTCACGTCATATTTTGGTGTTCTGGTATGAAGTTATAAAAATGTTGTAAACAATTTACTGAGATAAACAACATCCTGTACCAATATTGGTATTGAAACGCCATAAATTCCATGAATTACAATAATAATAATAATAATTTCATTATTACAGAAAAAAATATTTCAATTCCAACTTCATCTCTTGTATACATAACTAAGTATGCTGTATGATAACAGTATTAAATTGTATGAGATGTATATTTAAAAAAAAAAAACAAATAAATAACGTCAGCAAATTATCTCAATGAGGAAAAAATGAAAGAAACTTTGATGTTATTAATAAAAATACATGAATTGATATTAGCAAAAAAGAAGAAGAGGCAATAAGATTACTTCAGACTTAAACTTTTTTCTGGCGACAAATCAGATGTTGTTGTCAGATAAGTCAAAAGTAAAAATCCGTAATACTATTCGATAAAATTAGGATTAACTAGTCAATAAATACTCTGACAAATACCAAAAACGGGAATATTAATGCAATACAAGATTTAAATTTTGTTGTTTTGATGTATTTCAAAAGTAAAACATTATAAATACTTATATTTTCATTAAACAACCCAAATAGGTTCTTATAGTTTTCTAGACATAATATAGGTCAAGTTAAAAAATATTTTTGAGCTATTGTAACAAACGAACTTTTGAATATTTTTATTTCAACTCATAGCAAGACTTAGCTTAAAATTATAATTAAAAGTTCCTAATATGTTTTTCTACAGTCCTATACATCGAGTTTGTTTTTATAAACAACAATATAAGTTGATGCCATTTATTTTCAAAAAAAAAAAAACGAAAACCAGATTTTTCCTCTAACGATTTTAGTTATTTTTTTCGAATTCCAAAAAATTAATAATAGTAGGGACATGAAACTCAGATTAATTACGTAATTATGCATATTTATTATGCCATTACGTATATTATTTAATGTACACAATTCATTTTTCAAAATACTTAGATTAATTTTAACCTATTCATACCACGAACGTATATTCACGTCATACTACGGTACTTCGGTGTTGACTGACCAGTTTTAATAACAGTTGGTAATATTAAATGAAAAAATATTATAGCAATATTGGTACCTATATATTGTAATACATGCGATTTTTTTTCAAAAAATTAACATATCCTACAGTATAAATAATAAAAAATATAAATTACTATCTAAAAGCTCTATAAAATTTGATTTTTTTTTTTTATCGAGTTTGTCAATACATTCGAGTCTCGATTACTCGAGGGGAACAAAAGCAAATTCGGCTCATGTATCTTTCGAGTTATACACCTCAAACATAACATACAAACACTTCAAGTGGCAAGAAAACAATACAAATCGATTTATTGAGGTTTTCGAGTTATCGAGGTTCGAAATATCGAGACTCGTCTCTATATAAAATATGTTTATTGTTACATTTTTTTTTTTGTTTTGAATCAATTTGTTCAACCGAAAACAATCGTATAAGCAACTATCAACATAAATATACAGTAAAATATCCTTAGATATAGAATCGGGACACACCGTATCCGCAAAGAATCCATCTTCGTTGGCCACGTGTCGTCGTCGAATTCAAATACATCCAATCGCATACTCAAAGACCAGGTACCTACCCACAAAATTCGCAGACCACCACAGATACAGCATAGCGATGACCCTATTTTTTTTTTTGCATGTGAGTACAAGTGCAGTCACATCCAAGGGCTATAAAATAATGTTTAACTCTTCGTAGTATTTATAATCGATGACTGTGCGTTTAGGGTCCGGGGTGATTCTTTGAATTGGGGTTCGATTCGGTTGGATTATAATTAAATCAGCATCGACATCGGACCCTCAAGGATTTAGTCCAGAGCACACAGTTCTACAAAATAAATGTACAGTATTGTTTTAACTATTTCGTTAGAATCGTTTATTGTAGATCGAATTCATTTTACCCATCGACATTTTACGCCATTTTATCGAAATCTATCGACGATAAAAAAAAAACAAGAACTACGTAGAAATAAAAAAACAATACTAGGTAATGTTGGTGCTGTGTACTATTAATATTATATTATTACAGTAGCAATACATGCATCACAATATTGGTTTTCAAACATTTTATAATAATATGGTACTCAAGATACAGATAAATCCCCCCTCTGCCCAAACTGTCAAAAGTATCTTCTCTAATAAATAAAATCCAACTATGTATTATTATTATTATGTTTTTTTAGTATTATTGTAGAAGTCAAAATTCAGAACAGCGATCGTAAAATGATTTGAATTAGACAAAACAAATGGACAGAGAAACTTACCAAAAACAATGAAATATTATACATTATTTTGAATGGTTTAAGTTTCGTGGTAAAAAATTTAGTATTTAAGGTGCTCTGTGACAATGTTATTTTATCCACAAGAATGGTCTTTACTAGTATAATGGTCCTGTCCTGTTTTTTTTAACTGATAAAGGGTTAGAATTCTACAGGCCTGCACATTGACTCCGTTTTTCAATATTTTAATATCAAACTTTATAAAAAGCCTGAAAATAAAACTATTTTAAGCTATTTTCTGCAAATTATTTTATATACCATTATTTGAAATAAAACAAAAAGACGGAGTTCACTGCAGGTTGCGCGTGTAGGAAGTTTTTTACTTTCAGATAAAAATATAATAGACCGTTTCAACCCCCCCTCTGTAGATTAGTGTGAAACTATTATAATTAATATGTTTACTAAAATGTAAAATATAATTTTTAAATTTCGGCACCGATAACCACTTAATAAAGTATGTTATAAATTACTATTTGTACATATATTACGGAATAATGACAATTAGTTCAAATAGAATTTAAAATGTTTTAAATAAATTAATGTTGATGATAAACGACACAAGTATCTGAGATAATGTTTACCGACTATTTTGGTATATTTTGTAAACATTTCAAATATGGACTCGTTCACAAAAATACAACTACATTTTTAAGAACGTCAATTTATTTAACACTCGAAATATCTGGAATACTGTTCTCGAGTTTTGAAGATTCATTCGATTATTTTCTCACCGTTCAACATATCTCGCAGATGTTTGGATTGAATTTGTTTTGCTATTTAGTTACATTTTATATTTTGTTTGCTTGACAAATGTCGCGTACTTAGAGAAGAAACTACGTGTCTGATATTGATTTAAAATAAATTCAACGGATCCATTAGTCGTAATAATTTTCGTAGGTAAAATCGAATTTCACATTTACCGATAACTACTGGTTTATGAGACGTCCTGTC